GTGTTTTAATCATTTATTATTATCCAGTGTAAATTTCTGTTTCTGTAGGACTTGAAGGCGAACTCCCAGCTGTGATTAACAATCCTAAGTGGGCATCAAATTTTATCCTATGTACTTTTTTAAAATTAGGTGCTTGGCCTCACTGTCTATTAACTGAGATCATCCATGCATGGGGCTCAGGTGCCTATATTTAAAGAAAAATAATAAACAACCACCAGGCTTGAGAAGGTAGGAGGAGGCTGGCCGGCAAGCAGCGTGAGAGGGAGGGATCATCCTGAAGTCCCCCCACCTGCTCGTATTCAGTGACCAGTTAGGCTGTGTGTTTGTCACTAACTAGTTCTCAGACCTTGGTTCACTTTTTGGGCTTCAGTGTTTTCATCTGTAAAACAAGAGGGTTAGAATCAATTCTTCAAGTATTTGGAGCCTGTTATCTGCCTGGTGCTGTGCAAGGCTCCGGGGATTTAATAAAGAAAGAGCGTCCTTGTAGCATGTGCAGAAGCATTAGTGAGAGAGAGAATGGTGCTGGGGGACACTGGTTGGAGTTTAGGGTGCATGCAAGAGTGGGGCAAGGTGATGCTAGAAAACAGAGACCTTGTCTGCTAACCTAAACACGGCCCTTTCCCCTTTAAGTATTTCAACATCTAATCACACCATCAGGATAATGCCATGATCAAATTTACATTTTAGGAAAGTTTTTCTGTAGGCACCGTGGTAAATAAACTGGAAGGGCTTAGGAACAGTGGCATGTCGACCATTTAGGCTACTTTAGAAAATTGGTTAAGAAGTGGGGCTCATTTAAGAGAGTGTATGGATAGAACTGATAAAATGACATAAAAGGAGAAGAGCAAGGGGGAACTCATGCCAGGTGGCCCCTATTTCCTCCGTTAACGGTTAGATGTTATGGGGAAAAATTGAAAGAGTAACATAGGCTGGAGAGAGAGGTGAAGGACATGCAAAGAACGTCAAGGTGAAAGCCATACAATGGCAGTGGTGCCAGGACACATATTCATGTAGTTACCTCCTATAGTGCTCATCTGGAGGTAGGAGTGTAGGGGCGGGAAGATGGACTGACATAGGATGGGAGTTTTCCAGGGTGCATATGCTGGAAGGACAAAGGGTTATAGAGTTCAAGTGGTTAAAGTAATGGACACACAAGGCCAGGAAGGATAGGAAAGGAAATGACGCCTGAAGGAAACCGGTAATTAGGAGGAAATAGAGGAGTTAAGTGGGCTGATTCAAGCTAAGACAGAGAAGTGGGTTGCTACTCCTCAAGTACATCCATGGCCTTTGTAAAGCACCTAATATCACATTTTAGGAAAGTTTTTCTGTAGGCACCGTGGTAAATAAACTGGAAGGGCTTAGGAACAGTGGCATGTCGGCCATTTAGGCTACTTGAGAAATCCGGTTAAGAAGTGGGGCTCATTTAAGAGAGTGTATGGATAGAACTGATAAAATGACATAAAAGGAGAAGAGCAAGGGGGAACTCATGCCAGGTGGCCCCTATTTCCTCCGTTAACGGTTAGATGTTATGGGGAAAAATTGAAAGAGTAACATAGGCTGGAGAGAGAGGTGAAGGACATGCAAAGAACGTCAAGGTGAAAGCCATACAATGGCAGTGGTGCCAGGACACATATTCATGTAGTTACCTCCTGTAGTGCTCATCTGGAGGTAGGAGTGTAGGGGCGGGAAGACGGACTGACATAGGATGGGAGTTTTCCAGGGTGCATATGCTGGAAGGACAAAGGGTTATAGAGTTGAAGTGGTTAAAGTAATGGACACACGAGGCCAGGAAGGATAGAAAAGGAAATGACGCCTGAAGGAAACCGGTAATTAGGAGGAAATAGAGGAGTTAAGTGGGCTGATTCAAGCTAAGACAGAGAAGTGGGTTGCTACTCCTCAAGTACATCCATGGCCTTTGTAAAGCACCTAATATCCTGTCTCAAATCCTTTCCTGCATAAAATAGCTAGAATGGTTTTGTTTCCTGCAACTAAATCCAGACTGAGAGATACGGCCTCATAGCATTGTTTTGAGTATTAAATAACATTATCTATTCACTAATGATTTAGCTCAGCATAGGTACATAATAAGGATGTAATAAATAAATAAATACTATATGCTATTTAGTTTAAATAAACGAATCAAAGAACTAGAATAATAGGGAATTATGATCAGAAAGTAGTATATTTGATTTTAGGAATTTTGAGACATAGTAATTCTGGATAGTAACAAAGTCCAGGGAGAACAGAAACTGAGGGTAGAGATGGTCCTTGAGATTGAAGGGGTTATGGAGGAAAAGGTTCGGTATCAGAACATCCATTCCTGTAGGTGATGAAGTATCCACACCTGGAAAAGCAATAATCCTAAATTCCTGCTCCATGCACTGGTTTCCTGTCCCCGCCATTGTGCTGTCTCTGTACTTGATGAGGTTAGTTCGGGCTCTCCAGTTGCCAAACCAACGTTCACTTTCAATCCTGATTGTGATCCCTGGTGGCCTCCGACACTGCGGGACACTCCCGTCAGCTGGAACTCCCTCCTCGTGTCCTTCTGAGACTCACTCATTGTTTGTCTCTGTTTATCCTATTTAATTTTTTCTGGCTCTTCCTTCGTAATCGTCACTGGATTTTCATCCTCTATATCTGGGTCTTAGAACTTGCGGTTCGCCACGCTTTCAGCCCTGGTCATCTTCTGGTCTTGCTTTGCAAATCTGACCATCATCTTCCCTCGCTCTGAAAGCTTCAGAGGTTCAGTCTCTTTTCCTGGTTTCTGGTTTTCTGTGACAGCTTCCGACTGCTCAGCAGTTTTATCTCCGTCACTCTCCTATACCCACTGCATCTTAGCAGAATGCACGTTGCTGTTTTGTGTCTCTGAAACATTGTACATGCTGAGTCGGGGTTGTTGTTCTTGGTGTCTAAAATATAGACATTCACATGTTAGCTGCTATTGTTATTAATATTTTAATTTTAAATCTTGTTACTGTAACATCACCTTAATTTTCTAAAATAAAAATCAAGGCTTGCTGAGAATTTAAAATGTAAAATAATGCTCCAGATGGATCAGAATAGAGGCAGTTCAGATTAATGTTGATATGATTAAATATTTGCATATCTTGAGAGAAACAGTGAGTTGACCAGAAAGAAGACTGCTCAGCAGCAGAACATAGGAAAAGAGGCCCAGTGTGTGTTTGCCTGTTCTGTAAAGAAGGAGACACCGCACTGTGAGCCTGATGCCTTCACCGCTCTGACTCTTACTAGCAACTCCCATTCACCACTCTGACTCTTACTAGCAACTCCCGTTCTATTTGGTAAACAATTGTCTGATTATGATTTTGTTTCCCGTATAAGGTATTTATAGGGAAATAATGTAAGACTTCTAGGAAGCCATACTTCACGTATAGGGAAATAATGTAAGACTTCTAGTTAGCCATACTTCACGTTGTAAATAAACAAAGGTTCGTTCTGGCTTTATTTGTTGAGTTTCACCCTGCAAGGTGGATCCATTCACACTGTTCCAGGGTGGAGAATGAGGTATGGCTCTGAACTGTGATTGACTAAGTGATGAGAGAGCTCAATTCCTGGGCAATTACATCTTGATTTAACTAGGGGTTTACATGTTTGTTTTTTCTATTACATTAAATGGCCAGGGTCTCTCACAGGGCTGGTAGATGGTGAGGCTTGTCCTCTGGGTGGCTGCTGAGGATGACAAGAGAGAAAGGCCTTCCTGAGACTAGCTGCTCTTCAGCTGGCT